CATTTAATGGATCCCAAAGAACAGCTGACATTTAATGGGTAAAAAGCCAATGTCTATCCCGCTAGCGTCATCTCTCAGCAGTGGTTTTCATTTGGCTATGACAGTGTGTCAGGGATGTCTCCTTAGCATCTCGTCTGTAGGCTGCAGACAACAGCTTAGTGACGGTGACTGAAATTCAGGGGAGTTAAGTTTAACCATGGAGCTTGCATCTTTGGGTCTTGGAGAACCAGGTCCATGTGAGGGGTAATGAGCTCCCACTACAGCAGGAAGAGAGTTGTCTCATGGGTACGGCATGGGGTGGGATGTAGGACAGAGAGTGTCTGATTTGTGCTCCGTTTCTCAGTCCTGAGTCCTGAACATGGCTGGATCCTCTTCTTCTGACAATTTGAAAAGATGAAGGTATCTTCGGGAGGGTTACTCCCATCCATCTGAGGGCAGGAGCATGTAGACATGGGGAAGGAGCAGGAAGGTGATAGGATGAGAGGTAGTGCGGAAGTGTTGCCCGGGATCCCCCTTAACTGGCAGCTTTTCTGTTCTGGCAACATTTCTGAAAGAAAAAGAAACAAAAAACAAAAAACTCCAAAATCTCTGCCTTTCCCACACCGGGCAAGGATCCCACCCAAGCCCTGGCAGAGACCTGCAGCAGTCCTGTCAGTGACCATCAGTGCGGATGCAGGACCGTGTAGAACAGCCCAGCTCTGAGGCTGGTGGTGCCGTGTCTTTCCTCTTCTCTCCAGAGTCTCAGGCCCAGCACACAAACATTGCAGGCCCTGTGCTTCGGTGGCAATGCTCTCGCTGGTTTTAATGGGAGCAGGGCAGGGCCCTAATTGCAGCAACATCTCCTTAATGAGCAGAAACTCCCGCAATTTCATCAGCTGTCACTACTTACATGAACAAGGTTCAGCTTGCGCATGGCTACAGTTGCTCTCAGTATTTTTGTGTGTGTTGCATTCTCTAATCATGGTAAAACTCTCCAGAGCATGTTTTTAAGGTGACAAATTGACCACCAGCAAAGCACTAAAAGCAATAACTTTTGTTTTCTAAGTGGGGCTGTAGAAGAGCCAGGAAGCCCAGCTGCAGAAGCATGTTACACCTGGCTTGTCCCTTTGCATTAAAGCACTCAGTGTTGTGTCTGTCAGCCAAGAGCCGTTTACCTGGTGACAAATCATAATTGCTCATATTAAATCCAAAGTACCCCAACACATTTTCATAATTATTTCCAATGCATTGCACGGAATTTGCCTGGTGGGCCAAGCAAACAGTTACCAAGCTTGGATGACAACCCAGAGTCCCAGATTGCAGTGCTTGTGAATACACAGAAAACCCCCTGTTAAACTCGCATGGATGTGCTCCTGGTAATGGCACTTCATGTAGCCGGGGGTTTAACGGTTCAGGCTGTACAAGGGATCCTCCTGCTGTGTCTTGTTTCCACGTCCTTGTATCGCTCTAATCTGTGTTTGCACTTATTCAGCTTTATCTGATTGCTCCTTTTCTTAGAGCATCTTTCACTATAATGCTGATGAAACGTGCCCTTTCTTAGGCTAAACTAGGATGTTTTCAAGGTAAAAAAATGAATTCTGCAAATTAAATCATATTTATTCTCTGGTCTTCAGAAAGAAACTTATTCTCCCTCCTGTCTGATTGCTAGGCTGCAGTCTCACTGGGACAGGTAGTGCCCTGACATTTGCACCTACTGAGGTGGAGTTTATAGGTGGCAGGAAAAGAGAGGTTTGTGAGGAAGTCAGTGTCAGGTTGTGCAGGCAGATAGCTCTCACCCTCTCTGTGCTCCTCAGAACCCATCCTCTGGCTGTATTGCCAGCGGTCGGACTCCTGAGCCTCCCTGCAGAGGAGGGGATGCGGAGTAAGGGGGAGGTGAGGTCGTTTGACACCACAGGATGTTCAGAGAGCCGGATCTCGTCAGAAATGAGAGTCTGTAGCACCATTTCTGATCCTCTATGTTCTGTTTTTTCTGCTGGCTGTGGTTTGTTTGCTTCCTGCTTTCCCAATGAGATGAAGTGGTGGAGGCTGCAAAAGGAGTATTGTCCCCAGATCGCCCACAATAGCCCTGACGTGTCTCTTTCTCTGCGTTGCAGCCCCTTCTCTGTGGATCCCTCCATCGGGACTCTTGGTGTTGGTGATGCCATGCAAGTGACAGTGGAGTTTCACCCGCTGAAGACCGGGGATCATTCCGGTTCCCTGGTAGTTCGCTATGACACAGGTAAGTGCTGGGCACTGCGTGGTGCACGCTCACTGCATCCTTCAGAACAGAGCCCCTTCTAGGCAGAATAACGTTAAACTTGCTTTGCAAACTACTTGTAAAAGTTTTTCTTTCAAAACCTCTGCACGTCTCAGTGCTTAGAAGGGAGCGGATAAAGGGCAAAGGCTGGGCCTGTTCTGTGTGTCCTGTGTGGCTGTGTGCTGGTCCATCCCTGCTGTCAGCACGGTGTTCTCCCCCCAGCACGCCCCATGAGAGTCATCTGCCATCATTGCCCATTGTCGCAGCCACCTTAATTCCCTCTCCAGGTGTACCTCCCCTGTCCTTTACCTCGGGTAAAAAGTGACAAATAGTTGGTGTTTAGGGGGTTGTTAAAGTGGGTCCCCTCAAGTAGGAATGAGATTTTTGGCATGCTGCTTTCCTGGGAGTTGCTGAGTGGAGGAAGGAGGTACCCTGATCTCCACTGCAGTGTGCACATGCAGGTGTGAAGTTTTATTCCTAGACAATGCTCTGTTCGAAGTGTAACGTGGGGAATGCATGTCTCTGTCAGACTCTTTCTAAATGCCCCCTGTCTCTTAAACACCTCTGTCCCCTGTACAGCTTGTCCGTTGTCTTGCCACAGACCCTTTTATTATGTTGCCCTCTACCCATCTACATCCCACACTTCACAGCATCAGGACTCTTGGGGTCTGGCAGGGAGTGCTCCTGAGATAGGTATAAAATTTATACTAGGGTAGAGAAGCCAAGCTCGGGCCACAGAAATGCTGTCAGCTTTGTAAGTCACTTTAAGAGTAGGTGGGAAAAACTCAAGAAAAGGTGTGATGTTAAAAGGCTTCTGTCTGCCTTGGTTCAGCAGAGGTATCTTGTGATGCTGATCAAGACACTTCTTCAGTTGCCTGAACGCATTTGGTGTGCATTTTCTCTTCCCTGAAAGAGAGGTTTGTTTTGTCCCTATTCCTGAACTTCATTCCTGGGAGTGTGATGTCCTCACCTAGGTGCGACTGCGATGCTTTAGCCCAGCAATGAGCGTTTTATTGTCTTGAGTTTGTAGAAGTTCTGTAAATTCTCTTATTATCTTCCAAATGCTCTTTGCAGCCTTCTGATTTATCACAGCTTTGTTTAATATTGTTCAGTCAATGACACGTTCACAGAAAATTTATGCTCACTCAGAGAAGCTCATTGGTTTGGGTAACACTTTGGGTAACAGAGAACAGCAAAAGGTGCCTCATTTGTATGCATTAGGGAACCTATAGGATAAAATTCAGAGGCATAGATCTTTTCCTGGGTTGGATGAGGGCTAACAGGGCTGTGGGGTTATACCATGTGAAATGGAAAGTCCAAGTGAAGAATCCAGGGCCGGGATCTTCACAGCTTGCTTTGAAAACCTGAGCCTTGTTCTTACTGGGAGATGAAGGCAGGATTTGTTCCTGCCTGTCAGTACGGCGCTGCAGTTATTTTTTAAAACCACAGACTGAGAAGGAGAGCAAGGAATAATTAAGGGATTGTTTCTGAAACTTTGGAGCATACAAAGAAGTAAAAGGCTGCTGAGATTAATTGCTGAAGTGAAACCAAAGCATTTAATCAATCAGTCTTAAAAGCCGCTTGTTGCAGGCGTAGTGCGGAGCACCAGACCGTGTTACCCAGCCTGGCGGGGCGAGCCCTGGCTGCTTTGTCCTGCGCTGTCAGACTCCCTGCGACTCGCATACAAAAAGCAGCTGGGCTGCTCTTTCAGAGCCACCAACAGACTGTTTATTATGAAACGGAGGCACTAAGAGCAAAATATCAGTGTAGGGTGTTGGGAGGCGTTTTCCTTGCTTTACTGTGTGTCTGTATTGACTTGCTCACAAGTGGCAGTAGTTCTCAGTGAATCACACTGCTTTTAGTGTGACTGATGCAGGATCGAGTGCGTGTTGCCTGGCTTTAATTTTTGCTGAACTTGAGTCAAATCTGTCCCTAGCATTGCTTAAGGAGACACGAAGCTCTTCCCTTTGCCTGCTATTTGGCTGATTAGAATTGTGCCTCCTTTACACTGTCCTGGTTAGGAGTACAGGTGCTGTCCCCTGGATGGGCTGTCCATGTGGTGGTAATTGTGTTGTTACAAACTTTACAGGTCAGTATGACGAAAATGTCTTTGCTGCTAAGAGCATAATGATTTACAGTGAAAATTTGACCTTCACTGCTTTACATGTCCAAACTCCTCCATTTCCCCCATGTACATGCGTCTGGGTGTGAAAAAGCCCAGCTCATACTCCATCTGGGAACGTAAACGTGTTGGGATGCTGAATCCCTTTCCTTGGCTGAGCAGGCTTACTTCGATAACGAGGCCACCCATGCAGCGGCTTGGCGGTGTGTTAGTGGTCACTGTACACATGCAGGAAACTCATGAAATCCCAGCCCTGGCTGTTTATTGCTGTTTGAGTCTGGACAAGTAATGGTAGCGTGGACATGCCAGCACCTCTGAACATCTCAGCTGCCCACGAGGATAAAGCATCTGAGAAAAGCCACTGCCTTGCTGTGATAGTCATCTGTGGTTTTGTGTAGGCTTTGGAGAAAGCAACCACCTTTGCAGAGCTCTGTTCTCTTTCCTCTAAGAACCCCCTTTTGACCAAGGGTCTTGTCATCTGTCTTGCAAGGCTGGCATTACAATCAGTGGCTTCTAGGAACTCATTTGAAAATGAAATGAAAATTCTACTGATTTAGTCTGTAGACCAAGTCTTTTCCTTCCTCTTTTTTCTCCTTTGTAAATCCACTGATGCATGTGGACAGGCAGCAGGGTTTAACTGAGGTTTAGCTCTTGTTGTGCTGCATTTTCTATTCCTGAGATCACTCAGACAAGTTGCTGAGTGTTCTCAATTTGTACTGACTTCAGCCGGAATGGAGGAGGCTCAGTACTTGCCTGAGCAAACTCCCTACCTCGTTACATAACTTGACTCGTCCCTGTATTGTGCAGGATACCAGGGTGGGAATACTAAAACCATTTTCTGGCTTTAATCTTAGTCTTGTGCCAGTGTTTACAGGGGCTCTGGTGCTTCTGTGAGTAGCGTTAAGTTACTGTTGAGCTAAATTCACGGCAACAGACCGTGAGCTTCTGACGCCCACCGCTGTGTGCCACTGCCACTCCAGCCTGCAGATCTTCATCTTCATGCTCTTCTCCATTCCTTCCACACCAGGCAGATTTATGGTAGCTGCTTACAAGTGCTAAGAGGTGGGGAAATCTTCTGCTTCCTATGCAACAGCCCCTTTTGAATCCAAAGCTTCCCTGTAGTGCACTAGCTGCTGTAATTTTTTTTTTTTAATTTTGTGTTCAGTGCTGGCAGATGGTTAGAAACTGACATTATTCTGTGAGTTTTTAAAGAAGATCTTGTTTCCTGTGTTATCCTAAGGTGTAAGCCAGACTGATGCTGTACAAGAGGCTTCTCTAGATTTTCCTTGGGCTATCAGGCATTTAAAAACTTTGCAAGGGGATTTCCGCCTGTCGTAGGTGGTGAGTGCATGTTGTGCTTTTTTTTTCCCTTCTGTTGTGAAAATTCCCAGCAGTGTGGCTGGTTTCTGTCAGACTTTTATGTTCTCGTACATCTGCTTCAAAGTGAGTGGAGGGAGTCATATATTTTAGGCAAAAAAGATGTAAACAGGAGTTTGTGCAATTATATGTTGACTTTGCATCTTAACAGTAGCAGCACTGCAACCGACCGAGGGTTGGTAACTAATACTTTATACAGCTGATTGGTTATATGCTTTTATAGTTCAAATCACTTAGATTGATGGGTGAGTCTAGTTGGTCTCCAGAGTGTTTGTTTCTGTCAAAACAGGTAATAGGTAACAACTGTTTCCTGTCTTTGTTCCCCTTTCCTAGAGCTGCTTGTAACAATGAATTTTTCCCATGCTGATTTTGATAAGGTTGTTCTGCTCCTTGCAGAGTATGGCCCCTCTCCAGGGCCTTGTGTTTCAGGAGAGTTGATTTGTCACTTTGAGGGTAGATGAAGGGGAATGCAGTTTGTGCTTCACTTGCTTGAGGTTTCTTTGCACAGCTTTGTAGCTCCACAACTACATAACACCCCTCTGAAGAAAACCCCTGCTCCAGCAACCCATGGAGCTGACTGCGTGAGCACAGACTGGGATGTATGTACTAGGAGGGTGGCTTGGAAGTTAGAAATCTCCTTCTGGCTGTTTTGTTCATCCTCAGGCATGCACAGAAACAGACATCTGTGTGACGCTGCATACCCCGGTTTTAGCACATGAGAGATTTCTGGAAGAATGTGGTTTTCATCTCTCTGCAGGTCATCCTTGACCACAGCTTATCTACTCTATCATCAGTGGAAATCACTGACGTGTTCTAAGTGTCACTACCGGTGGAGGTGTTTCAGGACAGAACTGAACATTCATTAGCCTCCTTTCCTTGTGGATCAATCACCTTCTGCTGAGAAGCAGAAGAACAGCTTGAAGGGTGACTGATTTATTAGGTGGTCTATGGGGCATGTCTTTGCCAGGCAATCAGAATGAAAGTTCTTCCACCATTTTCCCCATGGCCAAAAGCAACGTTTCAGCCAGGGGTACCCCAGTGTGTCGTTACTGTGGTAGCAATAAGGATTAAAAATAGCCCGTGGCATCCTGGGTACGCTGCAGTGGTCTTCCATCATCTGATGGTTTCATCGTCCATTTTCAAAACATTCTGCAAAGCTCCTTCATGCTGGGCAGGACAAAACCTCCGTGCTGGCTCCTGGATATTCCTGTGCCGGAGTGTTTCATCCTGGAGTCAGGCAAACAGTTCTTCCTAAGCACAGTGCAGAGGGCTGCTGGGGAACGCTGTGGGTGCTCGGTCACAGAGGGATGCACAGCGGGAGCCTGACTGCAGGGAGATGGCTCAGCGTGCAGGAGAGCTGTCTGAAGAGCCTGCAGCCTGTCCTGTGGAGCACTGCTGGCTGGTCACTGCTTTCCACCTCCCTTTTCATCCCCATCTGTTGTCTTATGGCTCCTTGCAGGGCCTCTGAGGTAGACACCCTCTGCTTTCACTGTGCTGCATGGGCTCAGTGGGTGCTTTGCTGAGGCCGGGGCCACGCTGGGGACTCTGGCCATTACAGTAACAACTGTGGGCACAGTCATGAGGAGGATGCTCTGAGCTTTGTTGTAGCCTGGGAGTGGTTCTTTAGAGACACCTGTGTTGCCAGCAGCAGTTATTTAGTGGTGAGGTTTATAAAGGAGGTCTGGAGTAAATAACATGATGGTTTAATGATGTCTGAAGGCAGCTCCTGAACACCGCCTTGGAGAAGCACTTGCAAATGACTGTCGCTGCTCCGTGCTTTGCTCTGTGGCTGAAGATACAGGCGTGGGGACGGACAGACGCCTTTCCCAGGCTGGCGGAGACTCGGCTCATTCTGTAGGTGAAGCCATCAGCTGCCCAAGAGCGAAACAGCTCAGAGCAGCACTCCTGACTCTGATCTGGTGGTAGCTCTGTGGGAGACGCAGCAAAAAGCACATGTTGGGGGGGGCTGGATCAGGCTGTAAGTGACTTCTCCAGCTTTCCAGAGATCACTCAGCCTGGTGAGGTGACTTGCTTCTCAGTGGTGAAGTGGTAACAGAGACCTCTGCACGCTGCTTGAAAAACAAGGATATGCCGGCAGTGGAGGCAGCTGGGTATGATAGCAGGAGCAAAAGAATTACTTCTCATAGGTCGATATGGGGGTACAGTCACATCCTTTTGAGTGAAGAGCTCTCCTTTCATTGCTTGCTTGTATTTTCAGTGAAAAAGCAGCAGGACCTGTCTCTCTGCAGCTGCGTTCATAGAAGAGATGAGAGCAAGGCACTGTCTTCTGACAGACTGGGCAAATGAAATTACACTTGCTTTCCATGCTACCTAAATATTCCAAATGTGACTGTCACTCACTCCTAAAAGATTTACAATCCAAATTCAGCGGAGAGAGACCCAGGGATAGAGGAAGAATGTCATGGTGAAGACAAAATGCATCAGGGTGCTGTTTTGTTTCTCTTCAGTCTAATCAATCTGGCTACCAGCTTCCTAATGTTTAGAGCAGTAAGCAATGAAGGAAAGTACCAGCTGTTGGATACTAGGAACGTGTTCTTCATCAAACCTGAAATTTGTTTCAAAATCTTGTTCAAGGGCTTGCTCATCTATCCATTGAGCTATATCTTCTGGCTAAACAAAATCTTTCTGTTTAAGAACGGTTTGTACTGCTATGAAAATTATTCCCTCTTGCACCAGGATGATTGTGTAGTATTAGAATTCAGAAAAAATGTTTAGGTCTTCTGTAAATTCCCTCTTTGTCTGTTTTCCTGCACAACAGGAGTCCCACAGATTTCTCACTTCAAGATAGTGAAAAGTTATCATGGTGTGCTGATACCTGTGTCTGTAGCCATGTGGATGGATGCTGAGATAAAACACAGAGGTGTTTCTGCTGTGTCAAAGAGCACCGCTCAGGGGCGCACAACCCAAAGCATCTGCTCTGCTGCTCTTAAAAAGTCTTGCATTTAATTTCAAGTTCAGGCATTGCTTTCTTCAGGTTGCAGAGTGAAAGCTGTGTCCTGCCACCTGTAGGAAATGTATCAAAAGCATGTAAGAATGAGAGAGTTGACAGCCTGTAATAAGATCACGTGTAAATAATGATAGGGCAGACACATCTAGATTCAGTAAATGCACTTTCATGGCAGCCAAGCATCCCAAACCACACGCCATGGACACTGCCCTGTCAAGTGAAATGCCTAGTGCTATGTCCTTGTTACAGTACAGAGGGGGTTATTGAAAAACAGCCAAGAGTCTTAAAAGAAAAGTCACATCTGATTTGACACCCAAGACATGAAGCCTGCAGCCGCCCATGGCCGACCCTGGCCAGTCCGCTCTCCGTGTCAGCTCATCGGCCTGGCAGACAGACTTCCAGGCTTCCTCCTGACTCGCCGGCAGATGTGCACACTCTCCTGGACCCGGCGATTTGTGGGTGTCTGTATTCAGCACGATGCCAAACGCTCTCAGTGGTAGAAGGTGCTCCGGCAAACCCTCCAGCCTTCAGAAGAGTCCTCGGTGCCTGCAGCCAGGAGCGCAAGGGTGGCTGCGTCCCCAGCTCCTCCCCGCAAGAGCAGCAGTAGGGGATGTTTAGCAAATTGTTTAGAAACAGGCAGTGCATATGCTTTCTCCCTCCTGGGCTCTGGAGTTAGCATTTTTCTGTGCTGGAGGCTTTATTCTCATCTCTGTTGAATAGCTTCTGATGCCTTTATCTTCTAAGAATTTGTCCAGTTTCTCCCTGGATTTGCAGCTGTTAGCCTCTACAGCCTCCTGTGGCAGTGCGTTCCAAAGGAAGGAATACTCCCTGGAGAAGTACTGCCACTTTTGTGTAATTTCTGTCTAATAACATTATTTCAGGCCCTCAGGTTCCTGTTTTATGACAAATAGTGACAATTTTTTCCTTATTCACATTTCCCAGGCCATCCATGCTTTTACAAACCTCTCCCAACTATTGCCCTTATGATTTCTAGGATAAGGAGTTGTAGTCAATCTTCTTATGAAAGCTGCTTCATACTTTAAATTGTTCTTTATGTCCTGCTCTATTTAGCTTCAGATGCTTCAGCTTGGTTTTTTGAGATCAGAACTATACCCAGTATTTCGAGACGCACGTGGCCATGGGTTTAGGCAGGGAGACGATGATAATTTTCATGGTGTTTATTTTGCAGTAGTTTGTCATCTTGATCGTTGTAGAGCGCTGGCTCGTGTTTCCATAAACCCAAGCTCGAGGCACTGTGCGTGTCTCCCATTTCATGGCTCCTGGCTCCTTTGCTTGCCGATATATGCCAAGGATTCAGTGGAGGGAGAGGCAGTGCTCATAAAGCATATCTGCCTCTGTAACTCTCCTGAACATCAGTTATTTCTGTATGACAAGTTGTCCATTATAGAAAGCAGATTGTCAAGTCACTGTAAACATTGCTGCTGTCCTTGCAACATAACTCTCATCTCTGACCACAAATCTCTACCACTCCATACTCCCTTAAGAGCAGAGAAATTGAGGCTATACAGGCATGAAGGCTGGGTTCTCTGTGTGTGGAGATGAGTGAATGACACTAGAGATCTACTGTTTTAAGGGTGAGTCAATCCCCAGTGCCCCCCCAAAAGAGGGGGCTCCTTTTTTTTTTTTTTTTTTTTCTTTTTTTCCCTGGAATGAATGTGATTCTGCTGTGTTGTGTTGTGTCTGGCTTAGGATTTCAGGAGTGCACCCAGCACACTTCCAGCGCTCTCCGTGTTGTTGCACAGTAGCGCTTTAAAGGAAGGTCCGTTGGCTGGCTGCCTTGCTGTGACCTGTGCAGGGAGGAGGAGGCTCTGCCTTTGCAGAGGGATGCTCTCCAGGCTACGGCCGGGCTGCTGCACTTGTCCGTTGGGGCTGGCTCTGAGGCTTTAAGCACCACTCCACAGAAATGCCGTTTCTAGAGAGCATGTCTGATGTTTGCTGTTTGAGTCTCACCTGGGAAACACTTGCCTGCAAGAGGAAGAGTGAGCTTTTTACTGACGTTTGAGCTCAGTTGACAACCATCAGTTACTTGGCTGGGAAGAAGGAAGGTTTGAAAACTCTGGAAAGGAGGGAGCCTTTGGTGGGAGTCTGTCTGGGGAGGTGACGTGCTGGCAGGTACTCCAGCAAGGCCGCAGTCGTTGGTCAGTTGATGTGCACAGCCAGGGACACTCTCCTCTTCAGCGGGGTCTGAGGTAGAAAGCAAAGATGCCCTCGCTCTGGTCGTTGAATGGCTTGGGAAGACGCAGCATAGACTTGCAGACTCAGGCATAAGCAGCAGGGTCCCGGCTGAGGAAATGGGCTTGCAGGGCTGTAATGGGCAGGATGGGGTGGGCCGTGCCCCACCAGTCTCTTCTTGACACGTGTTCACAAACCCACAGCAAGTGAGGGCGCTGCTTCTGCAACACAGTGAAGGTCTGTGTCCCATCCTGCCCTGGGCTGTCACTTGTTCCTCTGAACCTTCCTTTCCTGCCCGTGTGCCCCCAGGCATCTTTGGGTGTCAGCAACAAGGGATCAGGAGAGACACAATGCTGGGCAAGCCCTGACTGAGGTGGGACTCCTCAGAGTCACCCGAACGACTAGGATGCAGAATTCTCTATAACTCGAGTGGGATGGCAACCCAAAGGCCACCTGGGCACATCGGAAAAATCTCGCTGTAAATACTGTCACCTTGGGGATAAATCTCTACAAACGCACCCAGAAATCAGGTGCTGACGGTGGTGCCATCCTCATTCTGTACACGGGCAGCTGTCAGGATGTGATGAATGTGCTGATCTGTGGAACTGATAATACAGCTAAAAGCTGGAAGAGTTTCTTCTGTTACTGGTGGTTTGCTCTGTTCCTCGTACTTCCATCAGCAAGTGAGATGAGCAAAGACTCCCCTGTGCTTTTTTCCAGGTGAAGATACTCACACAAGCCTCTATGGAGCAGCTGTAGATTTCAACATCGGGCTGGCCAGGAGCTCCGTGACAGTTGAGAAGACTTACCTCACACTGTCAAACCACAGATCTGTAGTGATTCACAATCGGAGTGAAATCAAAGTCCACTTCCAGTGGAAGGCTTTTCCTACCCAGGAAGAGGAGGATCATCAGAAGCTGAGGTTCGTTTGAAAGATTCATTTCAGTAAGATACACTGCCCAAGGGTAAAGCTAATGTGTGGCCTCAAGAGGTGTGGTGCATTGAATGGTTTAGGACAAGTAAACCATTTATGGCACCAGGTTACGTGTCCCTGGGCTTTAGGGTAATGGAGCTCAGTGCCTCCCATTCCAGCTCCATCCATACTCCAGCTGAGGATGGTGTTTTTTGGAGGAAAGGTTGATTGCAGTGACTGGATTTCCTCAGAGAGCAAATTTGCATTTTAGGGAGCCCCAAACCACTGATATCCAGAGAGCCTGCGTTATGGGGGTCCATGAGGCTGAGGAAAGTGTCAGCACTCATTCCCTGGGACTGCACTGAGTAGCAGCACTTAACATAGCTGCAGGTAGCATAACTGTTATGATATTCACTGCAGCTTCTTCCACTCCAGCTTTGATAAGGTGGCAGGCTCCTTCTCCAGTAATGCGCAGGGTCAAGTGCTGCGTTGGGCCAGCAAGTTGAGGCCGTCCTGCTGTAGGATGTTGAATTGCCTTGCACTGTCCCGGTCTCCAGCACAACGAGGTATTTCTACCCTTCCTCAGAGACTGGGGAGAGTTTGGAGGTGAAGGGTTCTGCAGGGAAGGTAGGGCAGCACGGGACAGAGCGCGTTTGAGCTGCAGCAGCCTGTGTCTTCATAGTGCTGAGAGATGGGGCAGGTTCTTCCAAGGGTGTCTGTGGTGAAGCTTTGAAATTCCCCTTTCAGGCAGCAGAGAAACACGTATAGACTGGGAGGATGAACTGGAAATGACACTTAAAAGTTTGGGTGATTAAGGGAATCCTTGTGGGACTTTTCAGACTTGCATGGATGTAGGCGTATAGGAGTTAGCTCACAGCTGATCAGGAAAGTGCCTTAAACTGGAGCACTTTTTAAGGGCTTCTGAGCCAATAAAGTTCAACAGAATTAGGTCAGAAATGTCTGAAAGCCAAAACTAGTTTTCCACTGTTCTCTATTTTTAATTACACAGTGTGTGACTTCCATGCAAGCTCAATGTGTTAAAAGAAAACCTCATTGCCTTCTCTGGGCACTTGCCTGGACCATTCCTTTACTGCTCTCTCCTCACCTGCCTGTCTCAGATTGGACCCTGAGTGACCCTCTTTCCCCTCAGAAGCAACCAGGCTTCCCCACAGTTCACTTCAACCTGATTCATTTCCAATTACATTTGATCTCGTGCCAGTTTGTGTCCTGAGTGTGACCAGGACGTTCTGTTCTTCCTCCTTGCAATCCCAGAGATGGTCATAGCTCCAAGGCCACTGTCCTGCTGTCAGAGAAGCTTCAGAGATCTCAGAGCAGAGAGGACTTTTTCCATGAGAGGAGGCAGTGCAGGACCCTGCTCTGGGCTGTGACCCCAGAAGACCTGGATCCTTAGAAGGTGTATCCAGGCGTTTGCTGTGCGTCCCTCCTGCAGGACTCTCTGGGATGTAATGGTGGAATTATTGTCCGCTGATGGAGGTTGAGTTGGGGGTTGCTCATTGGTGGCTGGAAGCCCTCCTCATGCGCAGCGCTGTAGGTCAGCCATGGAGAAACATTCCCTACTGCACTCCAGGGGGGGCGAGCCAAAGCAAGTACTTTTGGTGCTGGTGCCAGCCTTTGCCCTAGGCATTCTCTGTGTACAGCTAGTAACATATATGACCGTATTTCCGTGCGAACTGTATTTGAATTTAGCGGGGTGATGATTGCTATCCTGGTTTTACTACATTGCCTCGATGTGCTGCTACACATGGAGCCTTCCACTCATCCCCTCTGAGTTGTCACCTGCTGGTTCTTCATGGCCGGGGACTGGAGCCTGCAGAGGGGACAGCAATATGCCAGCTAGGAAGCAACTGCTCTGTAGCAGTGCTCCCTTATCTCTTGGTTGTGATCTTTAAACTCTAGAATGATTTCTGCTACAGCTGCCAAGTAAGGGAGAGATGAACTGCGTCGTAGCCCTACAGAGATGGCCAAAAAGAGGAAAAAGATAAGGTGGTTCAAGGCTAGACGTAAGGGTTTGGATTCAGAGATGCTGGTCCAGACTTCTTTAGTGGGTGATGCCAGGCAAAGTGCTTTCCCCTCTCAGGGCCTCTGTTTCCATGCACATATAAACATTGGTTTCACCAAAGGGATGCAATGCCTGAATTCATTGGTTTGCTTTTACAGTGCTCTGGGATCCTCTGGTGACAAGTGGTATAGGGCACAGAGAGCACATTTAGCTTGCTTATCCCTGCAGGTCCAAAGGGGAATTAAAAAGGAGTCATGCCAGTAGCCTGCAGCTGAAACCCAGCTGCATCTCCCCCTGCCAGTGAAGCCCTGCAGTGGGTGCTCCTTCACCTTGATCTGGCTCCCCCAGGCAGCTCTGTGGTAGGAAAAGCCAGTTAGGGTGGTTGGTGGATTCTCCATCAGTTGTGGCAGAGGCTTTGAGCCAGGAGCTCTCGAGGGCTGCTGGCTTTCAGAAACCTCTTCTGAGCTTGTAAGGATGGAGTAAAACTACGTGCCGTGGTGGCAACCAGCAAGTGATAATCTGACTCATGTGGGACCCCGTGGCTTGGGGTCAGCCCCTCGCTGAGCTGCTGCTCTTCCTCCCCGAGCGCTTTGCTGCCCCTGCACTCACACGAGTCTCTGCAAAATGTTGCTCATTAAATTATCTGCTTGGTTTGTCTCTCCCCGTGGCTGCAGGCTCCAGGGGCAGAAAGAGGGCAAGACGGATCATTGTCTGAGGGAGTGCAAGGTGGACTCTGCTCTGCGAGAACGCCGTCCCCTTCTCTCCCGCCCCTTCCAGAACCAGCGGGCAAAGGTGCAAGGAGACTCCATGCTTTTCTCCGACGATGTGTTCACCCTTGAGCCTCTGGTAAGTGATAGCTGAGAACCTCCCTTCCTTCTCCTCCCTGGCTGAGGTCACTTGGCAGGTCCCTGTGTCAGCTGGCTTGATGTGCCGAGAGAAAACACCAGGTTTCTAGGGAGGCTGCGAGAGCTTGTTGGAAAAAGCATCTCTGTGGGCTCCTGGCAGAGCGAGAGGCTGCCTAAAGCTGAGCTCTGCTGCAAGGGCTATAAATTAAGGGCGCTTGGTAAGTGTCTCACTGTTGAGAGGTATCGATAACGATGAGTAAGGGCACAGTTTACACGTAGTGTGTGGGGATTAACAAAGGACATTAGAGCGCTCTCAGTTCACATATTGACCTGAGGAATGAAATGGTCCTCTGTGGAAAGGAGGCCAAATTCAACCCAAGTTTGATCAGAGTGATACCAATCTCTTCATATAACCTGGACGGATATGACGGCTCAGTGTCCCTTCCAGTGTCATCTGTGAGCCTGGACACAAGGCTGGCAGGTTTAAACAGACTTCTTGAGTTTCATGGCACATAGGTACAGACATTTTGTTGCCTTTTCTGTTTATGCAAGCAAAACCCCATATCCTTCAATCAGCCAGATCCCTGCTTCTGAGTATTTGCATGGTCTGAGATGAAGAATGCCCACTGTCCGAGCAATGTAAAATCACTTTTCATCTTGGAGTAAATCCTAGGATAATCTCTAACTCTTCTTACTTTTAAAATAGGTGAAACTAAATTTTTTTTTTTTTTTTCAAGGAAGGGGATCATCTCCTCAGTTACTTCTATATCCCATATACGGCTGAGAGCCACCAGTGTTGGCACAGCTGTAGTTTGACACCACTCTAGCTGACAGTAGCATGATGTGACCAAGAGATTGTGTCAGAGTGGTGGGAATATTGTAGAGAGAGGGAGCTGATCAGCTGAGCATTAAGACCAGCCTGTGGTGTGTCAGAGCTGATTTTGGAGTGTGTCTCAGGGGTCCTGCTGCTTTACAGTCAGACTGTGTCTCTACAAGTAGCTTAACCTGCTCTTGAGCTCCTGAATGCTTTGAGGTGAGGTCCAGAAGTCTGGCTGCCCACAGCGCCGAGTCCTTGCACTCCACGTAGTGACATACGGACATAAAGTGTAGCCTGGCCTCAAGTCTCGAGGGGAAACCTTTCCTGAATGGAATATTACACAGGTTGCTCTAGGACTGACTATAAGTGAGCTACCACATGAGTCTCTCCCCTTCTGTTTTGTCCAGCATTATCAACCTTTTGATTTCCATGAATTCCATTATTTATGGAACAATCAATTTCACATTCACTTTTGCTCGTGCTTGTCTTTCCCCCTGGCATATGGGTGTCTTTACATCAAATGGTAGTAAGTATTTTCTACCTTTTATTAAATGTAGAATCCAGAACTCCACTGCTGCTGGCTTCCACAACCTTCTCTCCAGTGACAGCCCTGTAACTTTTAGCCTGGACAGACACCCTTTGTGCACTGCCATGTAAATCTGCTGGAGAGGCCCCCCAGAGATATGGGACCTTATGTCAGTGGACCGTTAGCTGCCAGTATTTTCAGGTGCTGCAATCTGTAGAAGCTGCAGCAGGTCACTTCAGTCTGTATAGGGTTAACTCGCTGATGGAAATAACAACAGAAAAGCGGTGGTGTGATTTTGGAATTACCATGTGGATGAGAACATTCTGAGCAGTTGCCCAAGCCTGTGGGAAACAAGCTGATACGCAGCTCTGACTTTCTGAGCACATCTCAAATTTGGTTTATTTTTGCATCCTCCCCACCCTAGCTTGTCTGTAAGTCCCATTGCAGACCTGTGGGAGCTGACTCCTTGGAAATGGCAACCAGAGGAGAGGGTGGACGAGGACTTGTTCCTGTTACACTGACCTTGACAAGTCCTCACTGTCCTGTCCTTGCCTGGTAGTGACTCCTCAGTGTCACGTGTGAACTCTGAGCTGATGGAGGTGGTCGTCAAGATGTCCAGGTTACAAAGGTGCTACTGTTGTTGATCCAGAGGTTGGGCCAGGAGGTGACAGTGGTGTTTGTTGCTGCAAACCTGCACCTCAGCTGGGGAACCAAGCTGGTCCCCATCCTCATGAGAAGCTACTGCAGAGCACTTTTTTGGCGGAAGGCACCATCTCCAGTGGGAGCCCTGGTCCATCCCACAGTTCCCTGTGGGCTCCGTTATTTATGGAAAGAGGCGGGTGTTAGCTTTAGCACTGCCTTTCTCCTAAGTGCCCTGAGCTGAGAGGATGCACTTTGAGTGTCATTTTAATACTTCTGTTGCCAGCTCTGTCTTTTTTTGATTTGACTGCTTTGATTGTGATTTCCTTCCATGGATTGCCTTCCCCCTCTGCAAAGCAAAGCAGGTGATATGGCCAGCAGTTGGTGGTGCCTGGCTTTTCAAGACCAGCTTTTTCTGACTCCGACTGGTGGAGATCTAGCAGGTTCTCATTATTTAAGGGCTGAGGGAGGAGAGATAGGATCTGCCATGTATTTACGGTTGGGCTCTTGCAGACAGATCATTTGTGTAGCTGTGCGTCCCGGTGTGCCATCCCCTCCTGTATCGCCGTGCTTTATGCTGTAGCAAAGCCAGGGTAGGACAGCTGGAGTGGTTGTGCTGTACCATCGTACATCCACCGTCTGTATTTTATGCCACCTGCCAGTTGCAGCCTGTCTGAGGCCAGAAGTGTTTCAGCCAGAAGTGTTGCAATACTGTGTTCACAGCACTGCATAGTTTTACATCTGTCCTGGTTACCATCCGTGGTGGCTCTCCATGCTCTGACTCGGCTGCCATCCTATAGAGAACACGTAGCCCAGGCACGTGGCTGGCTGCTGAGGTGCCCTGAGGCTCGGTCTAGTGTAGCAGTAGCCTGCAAGGGTGGGTAATGAAGCATTTCCTTTCAAGCAGCAGTTCTTTTTTCCGCTGTGGGGTAGCAGGAATGCAAGGAACCTCTTCAACAGCCCATTTTAATTTCCCAGGAGAAATAACTCACAGTATTTTCTGTGAGTTATTTCACAGTTCTTCCCTCTGTTCTGTTGACTCTGAGCAGGCTGTGCCTTGGGGAATTATTTGCAGCTGCAGCCCAAAAACTCACCATGTCATAGCTCTTCAATTGTTGTGGGGGCTGTCCTTTGAGCTATAAGGGATAAGTCGATGGGAAGTATTATAGTTACTTAATATGTATGCTGCAGGAGTGTCAGAGGCTCCACTCCGTTCAAGGCTTTTCTGGACAAAGCAGCGAGGATACCTAGGAGCATGCAGAATCAAAGCCTCGCTTTGCTGATAGAAAAACAACTCTGTTCGTCTCCTTCTATAAGCTGAATTTTTCCTTCCTTTGTCGAGTGTTATTACAGTTGTCAGAGGTGCCTCTATTTATGTCAACAAACACACAAGGAACATTTGTAATGCTAGGGGTTCAGGGGATGTAAGTGGCGTCTCGCAAGAATTGAGATCCTTTAGAAACCAGGCATGCCTCCCTGGGACTGAGCGCCAGTGCCAGGACTCTGGGCGAGAAGAAGAGAGAGAAGACCTGGAGGAAGCAGCAGAGAGCTGCAGACACACTGGTAGCATGGCCCAGACTTAAATCCCTGAGCAAGAGCATGACACGGAAAAGAGCCTGTTGGTTGAAAGAGGTGTGGAGCTGTAAGCAAATCCCGTCTCTTCTTGTCTGAGCCTGTGTTCAGGGACACAGGAGCGTGTGCACCTCGCAGAGAGAAACAGGATGCTTCTGTCTCTCAACTCCTTTCCCAGATCATCCATCAGCTGGAGGAGCCTGCGTGCTGGCTGGCTGCTCACGGCTCGGGGCAGGAGCAGCCACCAGCGGGCAGGAGCCCGTTCTTCTTTTATCCCCAGGCAGGAGGGCTCGTTCTGCTTGGTGCTGAGTGCCCCACTCACCGCAGTACGTTAAATACTTAGGTGGATGTACAGGTGAAGGGCATAAGAGGCAGCACCTTTGTAACTAAGAATGGGAAATTCTCTTTGATTTGTTAAATCTCTCCTGACCTGAGTAAAAGTCGTCATGTAGCCATAGTGCTACAGGGATATGCGGGAAGGTTTGGAAGCGAGAGGGACCTTTTTCTTAAACTGGCTTGCACCTCTGGAGAAATCCTACTGGATTCACTGGAGCGTGAGCCAGTTTGGTGGCTTCATTATAGCCCTAATTTAACAAAATGCCTCTACCAGATGCCAGTAAAGGTAAGAGACTTTAAAAGTTCTTTTGCAGCTGCTTCCAAACCCCCCCCTAAATTTTGTTAAGTGTTGCTTGTTCCCTGCTCTTCATTGATGCTCTAAATAAAGGCTATAGGGCTGTGGTTGAAAACAAGAAATGTGACATTTGAGGCTAAGTGGTTTGCGGTCTCCTTCTGTTTCAGGAGGGAGATATCTGGCCAAATTCTTCAGCTGAAGTTAACGTGATCTTTAGACCCCGAGAAGCCAGAGTCTATCAACAAACGGTCTACTGTGACATCTCAGGTACGGCTCCTTTCTCCTGCTTCTGTTCCCCACGGTGGAGGCGCGTCTTGCAGCCCCCTCGGTTCTCGCCTAGTTGGTAGGAAGGGTCAGTGGTCAGCAGGGTGCTGGCACGTGCCCACTGCCCCTGCGGTGTCCAGGTGGTCTCCTGTCCAAGGCCAGCCCTCAGGATGTGTGGCTACAAGCCTGGATCACTGATCCCAGAACAACCAAGGCAGTGAAGGGATAAGTTCTCATGCCGTGGGTTTGCCAGCATTTGCTCTGCTGCCACGTGCCTATAGAGGCCAAAGAGCTACAGAGCTAAACATCTTCAGTGGGTGAGCAGCAAGTCCCTGTAGACCATTTGCCTCCAGATGGAGTTTCTATTACACGGTTGCATCATCAGACTCCCGAGGCAGTAGGAGCTGAGTTACAAATGTGCTTCCAGAGCCTGGATCCCCTCTCACTACCCCGACACTGCCAGACCTTGGGTGGCTGAGCCCTGCTGAGCGCGGGCTGTCTGCAGAAGGCACCTCTGGCCAGCACGTGGGAGTTGTCACCTCGTGGCTCTGAGTCTGCAGTGCCTCCGGGTACGCTGCGCAGGGCTTGCTGTGCTCAGCGGGGTGAGCGCCCTCCCTGGAAATCAGAGTCTGAGCAGTCTGCTAGGCAAGCTTTATGCTCATCCTGTCTGACAGAAGTGCCATCACGTCTTTTGCTGGGAGCAGTTATCTCTGGCCCATGTGAGCTGCACCTTTGTGCCCTGCGAGAGGTGATGGCTTTGCTGTGCTAGCACGGGGCAGGGAGTGCCTGCAGCAGGCTGTGGGGTTCGGGTGACCTCATCCTTCTCTCTGTCTCTGCGTGGTGCTGCTTAATTTGTTTTTCGAGACTGGGAGAGCACTGTCAGGCTTCCATCCAGGGAACGTGATGGTTTTTCCCCGTCTAAGAGGCAGAGGTGTGAGGCCTGTTCTGGACTGTGCTGAAGTCACTAACCCAGCTGCTTTGTCGCTTTCCTTACTGCCCAAAGCTGAGCGATACAAATGTCATGAAACAGCTTTTTATTTATACTGTAATTGTGCAGGGTTTACTTGGCAAATGCCACCTACAGTCATTACCCAGGGCTTGTGTTCACAAAGTGTCTTCCTGCCCCCCAGCTGCAGCTGCTAGAGCTGTGGAAGGAAAGGATTGATTTAAAAAGTTGTGCCTGAGGGATTCCTCACTCAGTGCTGTGCTTCTGGCTCTGGGATTTTTGCTCTTGTGATGGGGGTGTCCAGCATTTTGCTGCAGGCATCTCCAGGGGCTGTGCCAGGAGAGTGTTTTTGTTGCAGAGAAATAGGAAGACTACTTACATGCAACCCTTGAGCTGGTCTGAGAGTTATAGGAAACAGAGATGAGCAAATGATCTGTGTTTAGAAAGAGAAGCCTGCTCTTGAAAAGGTCCTGATGGGCCCTTGGGAGAACTGAACTCCTCCACTGGCTCCTTGCAAGAGGACCTCAAGGAGGTCATTTAAATGATGCACCTAGCCCCCTCCCTTACAAGCCAGAGCTGACCCACTCTATTATCAGGGTGGAAACTGTCCCAGAGTCAAGGTCCCTGAGTGCAAGAAGAGTTTTAAGAAGAAAACAGTGATCTTTAACTAGAGAGTCAGTTACCTTTGCTTCTTGATTCCTCTAAGTAGCATGACTGCCTTCCTCATGCACTTGCATGCCAGTCACAAACTCCTTTGGAGGGTGGTTTGCAGAGGGTGTATGTCTCTTGCTGGGAACACTTGGGAGCTTTGCCCAGTGCAGCCCCATGAGTTGTGCAGCTGGATCTCATGCCCCACTGGAAAGGGGCTTTGCTGGCCTCCGCTTTTTTGCAGGTGCCTCCATGAATTGGCAAGCAGATGCTTCTGCATGCAGTGATTTACAGAACTGTGCAACTTGCAAAGCTGGCAGTTAAGAAGTGGTTTGAAATTTGCCCTTATCAAATACTGAGTCTCAGAATGAACTTTCTTAGTTATTCATGCAAATAAAGCTGTGGCTCTTGAGTGCTGGAAGAAAGTACATGGTGGGGGGCTCTGACACCTAAAATTCAGTGTTAGGTGTGTCTGCACACAGAACTGTACTGGGTTACACCTTGCAAGACCCTTTCTTAAGCCACTCATGCAGGGAGAAGCAGAATCCCACATGATGATCAGTCCCTTAGCTTGTGACAGAACTGTCCTGCATCATGTAACACTATTGATGTGGTCAGATGAGAATCATGTTCAAAACCAGTCACAAGGGACGGGGACATTCTGTGAGCAAGCAACTGAGTGTCAGAAAGCAGCAGAAGTTAAGGACTTTGGTAGCAGAGCCCCGTGCTGTTGGGCCACTTAGACCCCTATTTATTTGGAAGTGAGGCAGCAGTGCCACCCTGTGCACCCTGTGACCTGCCGCTGCGTTATTCCTGCTGAGATCCCAGTGCTCGCTCCACAGCACCAGGGGTGGGTTTGGGACCGAGGACAAGGAGGCTGTAGCCCCTCCATGCCCTTGGCCTATGTGCTCGGGGACGTGTTACGGTGGGAGCGTCCCAGGGCCACAGCCCAGCTGTAGCCAGGCCTTGGCCAAAGGCTGGATGCTCCTGGAAGCCCCAGCTCCCAGCGAGCAGGAGGACATATTCTCTTTTTCCCTCTCAGCTCTCCTGAATGCTGCCTACAGTTTAGTCTGCTCCTCCTCCTTTGCGAAAAGCCCGCTCTGCGGTTCACCTGGAAAGAGGAAGAGCAACATTACTGGGATTTCCTAAAGTTTTAAGTTCAGCGTAGGGGTAGAAGAAAGGATGGTTTCCAGAGACCTTCTGGAGAGGGTGAGGGCCTACTGCAGAAGGGGATGAACCGCCACTGATTTTTTGATTGCAGTGGCCATGGGATGTATGTCTCAGCATGATCATGGACAAAAGCTTGTCACTTGGAAATCTTTGCCATTACCTAAGAGCTTTGATTATTTAGACCTAGAGTTTTTAATGAAAATTAAGCCACATCTGATGCAAGGTGGAGTGATCTTTTGACAGGTAGCACCCAGTACTGCCTCTATTATGGTGTCTGGGAAATAGAAATACACAGCCTTGCAATTAATGCCTGAGCTGTGCAACCTGTCATCTCTGCTGTCAGCTGGGCTTTGTCTGGATCCACTTAAAAAATATTGAATTCAACAAAAGCTCCCTTGCTCTTCCTTTCTGGCTTGGACATTATCAAAGGTCCTCATTCCATGGTTGCAAGATCAGAAAGTCAGCAATCATTGAAAGGGCTGTTCCCAGGGAGAGTTTTTTTCAAGTTGTGATCAAGTCACTGTGTTGTTGTGTTGTCCCACCTGGGCCGCTCTTTGCAAGAGGAAGTAGTTTTGGACATTCTGGAACAACTGTGTAGCAGAAAAAAAAAAAAAAAAAGAAAAAAAAAATCAACCTTCAATCCCTAACTTTTAATGAATGGTGAGCATTACACAAAAGGAGAGAGGAATATATCTTCACAAAAGCTACACTGAAGGTTAGATACAACTTCTGGGCCTTTCTTTTCCCCTTGTGCTACTTGCTTTCTGTGCAGAGTAGGATGGGATGGCAGGGAGACCCAAGCCCAAATTGGAGCCCGGGTTCAGGCACTTGAGGCTGCTGCAGTGGTTCAGAACAGCCTTCGGACTGCAGGATCCCACCCTGTCATCTCAGCAGGCTTATGGAAGAAAAATGGTCATCTTAGAGTTTAGCTATAAGCCTTGCGGTCTCGGTTCCCTTTGCAGCAAGGGCTGTGTGTATTAGCAGCATGTTCATGGCTTCTCTGACCTCAGCAGTGAAGTTTTCCATAACCGCTCAGCATGCTTCAGGTAAGGTGTCTTTACAAAGCTGAGCTCTCAATATCCTGGTGGGCACAGGCGAGTGCTGCTCTCTGGAGATCACAAAGCCCTGTCTTATGTAGGTGCCGCTGCAGGAGGTGAGCCCTGGAGCCCCGGGCATGGAGCTGTGTGTCAGTGCTGAGATGCTCTGCCTGCTCTAGGCAGCTCTCAGACGTGCACAGCGCCGTTAGCAGGGAGCTTAGCCTTGCCTGGGCTCGCACTTCGCGGCTCCTGTGCTCTTGTCTCCAATTGCATCAGTACAGATGGCGCATTTTTATCTTCAGTTCTGTTTCATGAGCTTTGTGGCTTCACTGAATGGATTTCAGAGATCGTCTAAGCACATGGGAAGAAATTCAGATTGTGTTTTAAACTCAGCATCGCTAACTGATAGCTAAATGAGAAACCAGCCCGAGGGGTTGGTTAGAAATTAGAAGCCAGCCCCAAGGCGTATCTCCTGAGGGCAGGGAAGAGTCCTGTATCTCCTCCTGGAGCACCTAGAGCTGTTCCCATCCAGCCCAGAGTTGGGGAGTAGCACTGAGGCAGCCTGGACAGTCCGGGATAACAGAGGCAATTACTGTGCTGAAGTGGAAATCTCTCCGCAGGCCGCGAGACCAGGCTGCCCCTGCGCATCAAAGGGGAAGGCATAGGGCCTCAGCTCCGCTTCAACTGTGAGCAGCTGGACATCGGGAAGGTTTTTGTTGGATTAAACCACAGCTATGAGGTGAGTAGTCGGGATTCTGAGGGGCTGGGGGGGAGCCTGATGGCTCCCAGGGCAGCAGTGAGCCTTGTGGACCTGTGGGATTTCTGGCAACTCGGGTCATTGTCAGCAGGGACTGTTTGACACACTAGTCAAGTCTGGGGGCTTTCCCAGAATCTGGATACTTCTGATGGGATCTGAAAGGTGCCTATGTTGTTTGTGAAGTCTTAATCCATGCTTTTTGGCAACCTTCCTTGGGGATCAGCTGGGAGGCTTCATGTGAAAAAATACCCCCTTGACAGATGAAAGCAACACTGGGACAAAAAGATAAATATGCAGAGCCTTTTGTTTCAGCCCTGGATGCAATGCACCTTTGTACTCGGGCTGTTAAAAAGCAGCTGGAACAAATGTACTGAGTTTGAACTCCAGGGCATTGCAGCCAGTTTTCGGGTAAGTGTGGTCCTGGGAGCTGGAGGAAAGCTGTCCAGCCTCTGGCTCAGAGCTGGGTCTGGCTGCCGTACTGGGAGTGCTTCCCCTTGCTGACCAGTCTCTCGCCACTCTTCAGATTTGCTGCATCTCTATGAAGAGCAAAGCATTTCTGGAGATAAAGCAAAGGAACTTTCTATGTATATGCCTCCCCCCGCCAATGGTGTCTTCTGCAAAAAAATGAGATAGGGCAACTGAAAGAGGTAGGAAATGAGGCAATACTTTGAAAAGCTTGACTGGGCAGGGAAGGATGCATTAAGGTGTTTTATTACCAAAATATTGTGCTCTCTATGCATTTTTAATGGTGATACTTTATTGATTATCATTTTATTCTTTTCCTTACTTGAGAAAATGTGACTAAGTAGATGATACTGCTAGTGCTGTGCTGACTGAAGGTAAACCTCAGCTCAGGACAGGATCCCTGAGTGCAATTTTTAACTGAGGTGTAAAACACGTGAGAGGAGAGTTTCCAGGTTAGCCTTGCAGAGCTTGAATACATGAATATCTTTAACAGCAGCTGCAAAATTAAAAAAATGCTTCTGTCTCAATTTTTCTACCAGGTTTTACAAGGACAAAACTTAGGGAAAAGAAATCCAAAGCAGATAGTTACTTCCATGGAAATGGCAGGATTTGACCCTGCAGCAATCAGAAATTTTACTGCTTTGCTTTGGGTGGGTTTGTTGGTGACTGGCAGCTGCTGTGGGCATTGCTCACCCAACATGAGAAGAGCTGAATCTCAACAAGTGCTGCGGGGTTATGTCACTTGTTTGAGGCAGGAGATCTCTCGAGTGTTCAACAAAATACAGCTTAGTTCTAAATTTGCAGTTTATTCTGATAATGGTAAAGTCTTAAGTGGTGGCTGTGAATATTTAGGAAAGAGAAATTCTTTGGAGTAGACGGAGCTGCTGTGCACCGCACGCTCATCCTTTCCTGACATGTCTGTTTGAGCAAACACTAAGAAAGTATCCCATTAAAGAAAAAATAAGAATCCTAAATGACATACCATAGGAGAGCTGGGGAGTGCTTCTGAAGTTGGTGATAGTGCTGCCCTGAGGTGTCTTCTACATGCAGTAAACTTGTTGGCTGCAACGTGTTGTGCCCTCGGTAGGATCAAACTCGTCGGGAGCAGAATCAGTTGTGTGATGATTCACTAGTAAAGCTGCAAGTGCCCTTCGTTGCTCTTCGGGACAGGTCTGAATCGGCTTGGTGATGCTGAGCAGCTCCTCTGCCACTGCAAGTCGAAGTGGGCTGCTCTGTGTCAGTGGAATAAACCCCAGGTGACTGTTTCTATGAAGCTGTCCCTGCTTTGCATGAAAAACCCAAAGGCAGAACTTGTCCTGTTGCATTTTCTTTGGCTTCTGCCAAGCAGCAGGACACAGCATCTTCTGCATTTTACAGATGTTAATTGGTTAATCAGAAAACAAATCAGCCTTCTGTAAGAAAGGAAGATTCCTTATGTATTTCCCTTTTGCTTTCTTGCTGCTGCAGGTGGTCCTGTTTAACAAAGGAGCCATCGATGCTGCCTTCAATTTGGTCCCTCCAGCTACAGCTCTGGGCTCGTGCTTCACCTTCCTCCCCCAGGAGGGCATCATTTCTCCAGACGGGCTCCAGGTCATCCAGATCTCCTTCAGTTCCACCATCCTGGGGAAGTTCACAGAAGAATTCAGCTTCAGGGTGAATGGATCCCCTGAGCCTGTGACCTTGACGATCAGGTGAGGATGGTTATAGGAGCTTGGTGGACGCATCTGTAGCTGTCTCTGGGTAATCATCTCCCACCTACCTCATTTTAGGGTGAAACAGAGAAAAAATAAGTGTTGTCTAAGGTCTTAGTCTTGGCTTGGATCCTAGCATCCTCATGCTAAGAGCCAAGGCTTTTTAACCTTGACTCCAGTCTGAACCTTGCAGTTGCAGCAGCAAATGAAGCGTAATTATCTGAGAGGAAATTGTAGAATTGTAGAATAGTTTGTATTGGAAGGGACCTTTAAAGATCATTTAGTCCAAGGCCTCTGCAATGCGCAGGGACATCATCATCTCGATCAGGTTGTTCAGAGCCCCGTCCAGGCTGACCTTGGATGTTTCCAGGGATGGGGCATCTACCACCGCTCTGGGCACCCTGTGACAGTGTCTCACCACCCTCACTGTAAATTTTTTTTCCTTTATATCTAGTCTGAATCTTCCCTCTTTAAGTTTGAAACCATTACCCCTTGTCCTATCATGTCAGGCCCTACTAAAAACCCTGTCAAAATCTTTCTTACAAGCCCCCCTGAAGTACTGAAAGACCACAGCAAGGTCTCCCCGTTGCCTTCTCTTCTCCAGGCTGAAAAACCCCAACTCTCTGGGCCTGTTCTCACAGGAAAGGTGTGCCATCCCTCTGATCACTCTGGTGGCTTCCTCTGGCCCCGCTCCAACAGTCTTCCGTGTGCTGAGGACCCCAGAGCTGGACAGCACTGCAGGGGGGTCTCACCAGAGTGGAGTAGAGGGGCAGGATCAGCTCCCTCGAGCTGCTGCCACCTGTGACCATGCCTCCTGTGCCCGTTTAACTTTCCAAGTCTTGGGTTCCTCTGGGAAGCAGCTTTGCCTTTGTGGTTGGGGCGGGTGGCTCTGTGACTTTGCAGGTCACTGTTTGCACAGAATTTGGCAGCAGCAGGTTCCAACACGTGTCTGTGTGAGGGCCCCGGGGCTTTAAGTGACTACCTGTGCTGGAAAACAATTTGCCTGGAGGCTGTAGAGGAAAGGTGTGGAGATGCCTGCTGCCCAGTCTGGGTACCCAGGAGCTGGAGTGACTCCTTCCTACAGGTAGCTCATTCCCCCTTGGGCCACGTCAGACAGTGGGATGGCATCAGCTTTGGGCAGTAGGTGGTCTGGGCCACCCCCCGCTGAACACACAGCAAGGCCAGCAGGGCTTTGGGGATGGGCCAGCCTGGGTGGCTGCAGCCAGAGGCAGTGTTTTTAAAATCCTCTGTTAATAATCCATCCCAAATGGGTAGCAGCAGCCTCAGCATCCCTCTCGTGGTCATGGGTTGGGACAAGCTGTCCTCTTGTGCAGCCAGCGCTGTGGTGGTGCCTCCTCTCTGCAGCCAGAGCAGTGTTGACGGGGCGGACGGGGAGCTCTGCGGCTGGTGCCACGGCAAGAGATAATCCTCACCAAGCAAAGGGGAGAAGGGGGAAAAAAGCTAATGATAGGAGAGGCAAAGCTCACTTGTCAGGACTGCAGCAGCATGCAAACTTGTCCCAGCTGGTCTTTAACCGCGGGCTGGTGGGATGACGTGGTGTAGGCAGGAAAGCTGGTGCTGGGTGCTCTGGAGCTGTGGGGCTGGCTGTGCCTCCTCGGCAACCAGCCTCCTGGACTGCTGCTGCTGGGAGGCTCTAGACAAAGGCAGTAAAGCAATGGGAGGAATCTCTGGTCGACTTTACCAATAAAATGAGGGAAATGGATAAAAAAGAACAGAAAGGTTATTACTTTGCAAGAGAAGAGTGGTGAATAGGTCTGTTGAGCTCAGTAGAGAAAGAATTACATTGGCTTTGTGTTTGGAGGGAAAGTGCTGCTTTCTTTGGAAATCAAAAGGGAACATTTCACAATCAAATAATTTATTCTCCTCTGTTCCTCCCCCAAACTGGTCACAGGGTGTTATTGCATGAGCAGCTTTCTCCCTGAGCAAGGGCAGGTTTTGCTGGTAAGGATGCATTTATCCCTTGGATACTGCTTGGAGAGCGCCCGCTGCCTCTGCCCTGCAGTGGCCTTGCTCCTGGGGAAGGAAGGAAGGAGCTGTCAGAGGGACGGTTGTGTTGTGGCTTCCCCACAGCCAAATGAAGTCGTCCTTTTTTCCCCAGTGATGCCCTGTCTCTCAGTGCCCATCATGCCCTCCCCTTCTCTGTGGCCACTCTCTGCCCTGTTTGGCCAGCACTCCCCTGGGCTCAGTGTAGACCTTCTGTCTCAGTGAAAGAGGATTGCTGGTCCTTTTTTATTTATTTCTTCCCCATCTTTGTACTCCTCCTCCCTGGATGGTGGCTCCTGTGCAGCCCATCTGATGGCAGCCCAGCACACTCGCCTGCTCCCATGCAGCTGTCCCTCGGCAGCAATTCCCACTGCAGGCCTCTCCTCCCTGAGATGGCATCTGCCTCCTTGAGCTCTGTCTTGCTTTTCAAGGATCCCTCTCCAGCCCTTCTGTCATTCTCCAGCCCCACAGCTCAAACTGTTTGTTTTCAAATGCCCTTGAGATGTCCACCCACCAGGTCTAGCTGAGCCTCCCTCTTCGGAAGGTTTTGTGCACTGGATTTCGTCCTCCATGGAGAAAAGCTTCTGGTTCTTTTGAACAGAGGAAAGCTGGCTGGTGGGACACTGGGCTGCAAAGGAAGGAACGGGGATGAGAGTTCAAGCAGTTCCATTCCCACCTTGTGTTATTCTTCCTGCTCTGCCAGGACCCTCATCTCCCTTCACACGTGCATTACTTAATGTTACTGTAAAACACAGTTGTCAAAACCACTGCCTTTTCCCCCCTTCTCTTGCAAGCTGTACTGTTACCAGCTCTGGGTTGGCTCCTTGCCTGAGCCTTCTGGGCAGTCATTCCAGTTTAACTTCCCAGAGCACAGATTCGGTGCACTCAGGAGAAGTGGCAGTAATTTCCCCACTTGCCTGGCAAGGCTCATCTTTGGCAGTTTCCCAGTGTCATCCCCAGTCGTGGCTGATTTGGAGGTAGTTTTCCATCGTCTCCTGGCAAATGCTGTGATGGAAAGCATGTCTGCTCCCTTTGCTCCGTCTGGAGTAAGCTGTTAGGGCTTGGGAAGTCAAGTCTGGTTATGTGAGGTCCCTGGAGAGGGAACTTCACCATCAGCAGGGATTTGGTAACAGGCTTATTCACAGGAGCTGATTCAACTGCAAGAATTGAGAAGTAGTGTTGGATTGAAACTCCCGAAAGTCAGGTTTTGAGTGCTCTTTGACTATGCAGTCAGAAGGCGTCAAGACCATAAGTGATTACTCGTTACATGGAAACCAACCTTACGAGGCCCTGGATGCTTGTTTCCTTGGTGTTTGGAAAGGGATGCTGGAAACGGGACAGCAGGGATGGACGCAGGTCCCTCCCACGGGCTTCATGTGCAGAACCTGTGGATAATGACAGTGGCAGTCCTGTAAGTAAAATGAGAAGGCACTGTTCACTGTGGCCCTTGATTTTTAACTGAGGCAGAGCTGGCATTGATTGTCATCAACCATGAAGTCAATTAATGTTTGTTTTGCACCTTCAGGTACTGATTTCAGTGGATGTGAGTGAATTTTGGAGTTCGGAGCCTGTCTGCTGAGTTGAGGGACGGGCAAGGTGGTGCCCTTGGATGTGTCAGCTGGTGCACTGGTGACAAGCTGATACTTCCCTCCAAGATTGAACTGTCCTCTGCCTAGAACTGTTGCTGCTCTTTTCAATGGATGTTTGGGGCTCCTCTGGATTCATGTCTCAAAGTCCTGCATGTGTAATGATTGTGTGGATCAGGTCTTCTGAGAAAGGTGTTCATATACTCCATGGAAACAGCAGTTCTAGCTAAGAAATAGAAAGCAGGGAACCCGTGGCTGGGAAGGCTCGTTACAGTGAGTCCCCTTTTGTGTGGACACCTCTGTCCATCACATCACATCACATCACAGGTGGGGAAACCGAGGCACAGAGCCATCACTTGTTCAGGAACCTTTCTGGGGCCAGCAGCAGCGTGGGGGCACACCCTGCCGTGGTGCCCTGAGCCTCAGCAGCAGCTGTCGGGTGCTGACCACTTTGCTTTGGCTGCCTGCTGTCCCCATGGATGCTGTGCTGAGCACGGGGGTGACAGGTTGATTTGAAACCCACTGTGGTTCTGAGAGCAGCTTTCACCCACCCGAGCGGTAAGGAAAGTTGAGCGCTTTGCCATTCTCTCTAACCGAGCTAACATCTCCTCTGCCTGTCTTTGTCCTTGCAGGGGCTGTGTCATTGGACCGACTTTTCATTTCGACGTCCCTGCCCTCCACTTCGGTGATGTCTCCTTCGGTGAGTGTGCCCTGGGCTTGGTCCACGGGTTGAGAGCTCTGGGAATTACCAAAATGGAGCATCTTAACATAAGACCATCTGTCACTTGTGCTCCTCCATAGCAGCCTTCAGGGTGTTAAACCCAGGGCTGCTGGTTGCTTAGGCAGTCCTGTGCCATCGTGAGATCAGTAGGACCAAAGGGATAGAAAGTCAGTACTTTTTGGTGTCCTTGTAGTCTGTTCAGCACCAACCTCTCAATCCTTGACAGCAAAATGACTGTGAAAGTCCTTGTCCCAGAGGGCCCAGGGGATGGGACTGCAGCAGAAGGGAGTTTAAGCCACGTACTGGCCTGTAGCTGCTCTGGGTCAGTGTTCCTGTGGCAAGCAAGGATACCACTTACCCGCCTGACCTTTAGTGCCAGATGTTAATTACCGCTGTGAGGGCCCCTCGTTGTCACCCACCAGGTAACATGCCCAAGCAGTAGCTCTGAATCAGGCACTGATGTCCTCGGACCATGGGCTCCTCCTTCCCCACCACAGGCCCAGCTCTGCTGACAGAGCCTGGGGCTGAGCATCCAGAGCGTCCCCGTTGAAATGCAGCTTCTGGTTCTCCATCTCAGTCTCACAAAAGGCTTTTGACTGAGATGATCGACAGTTTAAATGTGAAATCCATTGTGGATTGATTGAAGGGTCATTATCATTCTGTGCCCAGGATGCCTCTGTGTTTTCGTGCTGTTCATGGACATTTTAAGAAGACTCATTGGCTTTCCTGAGCCGCTTCTCCCCTCCCTCCATCATCACTCTGCCACTTCTTTATTTCCTTTTGAGTAAAACAAGAAGAAACACACCAGACAGAAATGTGGATATGTAACAGGAGATTCATGCTCCCTAATGTAATTTCATGAATAAGGGCTTTTCAGCTGAAGGCCGCCATTGTATTTTTGCTTCATTTAACTGTGCTGCTGACTGTTGACCTGTGTCTGGCAACTTTGGTCTCGTTTGGGATTGTGAAGTCAGTGTTTGTCCTTTGTGTGCCCCTCCTGCCTCCCTGCTGGAGTAACTGCTGGAGGTGGGCAGTGGTGACTGTGGTTGGGCATGGAGAAACCCCCCGCTGTGGCTGCAGTTGGTTTTCCTCACCGTCTGTATTCAAACGATGCTTGGTGAGCAGGCCATGGGAGATGTCTGCTTCTCGCAGAGCTGGCCAGCCGAGCCAGGTGTCCAGGACAGAGCAGGCTGTGGGCTGATGTCCTGTCTCTGCAGAACACAACCCCCCCAGGTGTGGCTGTGTCACTGGTTTTCCATGAGGGAAGGCGAGTATCACAGCTCAAGTGATGCCGACCTGTGCAGGGCAGTGTGCAGTGTGGAATCCGTGTCCTGTTTGTTAGGTGGGGTGGAACATGACTCCTGCTGATTTCTGAGCAAGCATCAGGTTTGCCTCCAGTGCGGGGCTGTGAGTTGTCACGTGCTCAGTCTGGTAGCCCCAGACAGGAGACGCCTTAAGGGTCCTGCCTAGAGAAACTGCGTTGGAGTGCTTTGCATCATGCTGTCGTTCCCAGTTTCATCCCTCCTTCCTTTTACTGCAGCTTCTCCTCGATGACAATACCCTGCTTTTATGTACTGAAAACTGTGGGAGTGTTCCCAGAGTCAACAGGGCATTGAATTTTCAGAATAAATGGTCTATCTGGATGGACACTTGTGAGAACTAATTTGGTGCAGGTTTTGGGGCAGGTGAGAGAGCTCCTCACAGCTAGAGAGAGAGAAACTTCTGGGGTTCAGCATCGCCAAGAGTGGGCATTTCCAAGGAAGCAATCTCTGTGATCAGCGTGAAAGGGAGCTTAAGTGACAATTAATTCCTTGTGTAACTTCTCAGTTAGCTGTACTTCAGATTGAAAAGAGCTAAACTCCAAGCCCAGTTTTATCGTAACAGGCTATTCACACCAGGAATCATGGGACAGTTGGTGCATAAATTCATATTTGTGTCATTTTCCTAGGCTTTCCTCACACCTTGTCATGTCGCCTCATCAACAACTCCTTGGTGCCCCTGACCTTCAACCTTCGCATTCCTGGGGACGGCCTGGGAGAGCCCAGTGTCAGCAGTTTTGCTCACATGACAGACAACACTCACCTACTCCAGAGAAAGGGAGCCCAGCGTCACCTCAGGCCAAGAGAATTCACCATAAAGCCCCACAGAGGGACCATCCACCCCCTGGGATTCTTGGATATACAGGTATGGGAAGAGTCCGGCCGTACGTGCTCGGCGGGTGGAGCTGGAGCTTCACTGAGGGATGGGAGGGCTTTAGCACCGCTAGCTCTGAGCGTAACGCGGGTAGGGTATCTGCACTGGTGTTGGGCTTTTGTTAGCTGGGTTGCTCTGGGGCTTTTCTGGAGGACCACTGCTTTGTTCCCAGAATCGTCAGCTGAAGATCATGTCCCATATGGTCAATTGCAGAAGCCATTCATCTGTTTGAGAGCTGCTTGGAGCAGTTTCTGTGATTTAAAGTGGGCAAAGGAAGGGTGAGGACAGAAGGTGGCTGTTAAAAAGAGAGATGTCATTGTATAAAGCACTTTGCTTTTCTTCCCGGTCTTATTTGTCCCCTCCTGATGAGCAGAATGAGTTGTATTCACTGCAGTGATCTCCAGTGGCGACTGAAAAATCTCCGGCAGCCATGAACTGCACAGCACCTGCTGGGATGCATTTTGCCCTCAGCTTCCCAGTGTCAAGCTGAATCTGTTGAATTCAACAGATTGCCTCTGGATTTATGCTGTTGTAGTTCAGATTAAAAATTAGTCCTTTAATTTTAATACAGTGGGGAGTAGAGCATTAATCTAATCGTGGTTACATGTGCCCTGGTAAGCACAAGGTGTATTTAACAAAGCAGATTTGTCAGAAGACTTTTGTTACTCCCAGCAACTGTGCTCTGTCCATGGACCAGCAGAAGAGTTAGGGCAAAATCCGCCCTTTCCTGCCCGTGGAACGAGAACCGGAGGACAGCACAGGTGGACGGTGGCTTTTGGGAGTGATGAAGTGTCCGATGCTCTTCTCTTCCACCAGGTCACCCTGTGTTCCAACACTCTGCAGAGATACGAGCTGGCTCTGGTGGTGGACGTGTGCGGTGTTGGCAGGGCGGTGTCGGCGCTGCTCCTCACAGCCAGGTATCGGCGCTTTCCTTGCAGCTTGTCGTCTCTCCTTGTGCATCCAGCACCACGCTGCCTTGCACGTGGTTTGCTGGCTCCATCTCCCAGTGGCAAGTGTTGCTTAATGCGGTAGTTCTGCCCAGCTAGATGTGAGATGGGCAGTGTTCTGAAAGCAGCACCTGCGCTCCACGGACAGGCGTGACCCTGAGCCTTTCTCTAAAGGGAAGAGTAATTATATTCATTATTGGCCTGGGTTTTGGTGCTTGAGGTGTAATAAATTTCCAAAGGGCCATCTTTCCTCCTTCCTGCAAGTGGTGGACTTGTGCTGGGTTGCAGCCAAAATACAACATCCATTTGGGCCACAGTGAGCAGCCTGCTGAGAGCTGGTGTCTGGGTCACTTAATGAAGGCTCATGGGGGGCTTATGGCAGGACTGGTGAGGTGAAGCTCAAAGCAAGATCTTATGAAGGGGAAAATAGTCCTTGATGTGGAAGGTGAGCTCAGGTTTCTCTGCTTCCCTCTGGTTCTTTTGAGCATTAATGTTCTCAGACTCAAGCCAAAAGTTGTTCTTGCTGCAGCCAGATTCAACCCTGTTGTGCTGCAGTGAGTGTCGGTTTAATTCCAAGAGGGATGAGTTCACTGTGCTGTTCCCTCTCCCGGGCAGAGTCATCCAGTCAGTGCCTGGGCTGCAGTTTTGTAAAACAAGTGCAAATGGGGACAGAGAGTGCATGGAGCTGTGGGGTGCAGGAGCTGGGAGAGGGTGATCCCCCACTGCCTGAGGCAGGGGGTGGCTGTGCCCTCCATTGCTGGGCAAAGGGCTGAGTTCTCAGGCAGGGCAACAGCGGTGTGAGAGAGGAGGGAGTCGTTCTCCCTGAGACACTGGGGTCTTGTGCCCTTTGAGCCTTGGTGGGCACTCGGAGGAAAGGCTCCCCCAGAGCTCACGCCTTGCTGGGACTGTTGGGAGGGTCCTTGCAAGCCTCCTGAGGCAAAGAGCGGGCAGAGCTGATCAGGCAGCTCTGGCACAGGGCACCGTGCGCTGCCCGGGCACCTGGCAGCCTCTGCGAGGCTGAGTCCCGGGGTTTGCCCCAGCTTTACAGGAGGTGGTGGAGTCAGAAGCAGTTAAAGGCCATTTATCGCTGTAGGGGTATTAAGTGTCTATTTGACAAATCTGTTATGCTCTCTTTCACGCTACTCGGGGAGTAAACGAACTCAACATTCTCTCGGTATCTCTAATTCGCTTTTGGTCCTCTCTTTGCCTAGATGCGTGGTTCCTGCGCTGCGAGTGCTCAACCCTGTCGTGATGTTCGGACGGTGCTTCCTAAAAATCCCTTACCAGCAGATGCTGACCCTTGTGAACGACAGTGATCTTCCAGGCTGCTACAGGGTTCTTCCTCAGGTTTGGCATTGCATCCGCCTCCTGCCCTCAGATGTTACCAAGGGTTTATTAGGAAAAAAAAAAGGGGGTTTGGATAAGACCTTGCTGGTTTATATCAAAACCTAAAGGTTGCTGAGAAAAGGAAGCTACCTGAATATAAACTTCAGGAAGCACTTAAACAGGAACCTACCTGTTTAAGTAATATAGGCGTCAGGAAGCAGTTTAAACTTTTTAGGAAGCAGTTTATATTCTAGCCTTTGGGGTGCTTTCATGCAGGTGAACTTAGAGGTTTGTGAAAAGCTTCTGCAAGGAGGCTGCCAGGACAGGAGTGGGTGTTTGTGGGTGCAGCAGGTTTTGGACCCTCTGAGGATGCTAAGCCCATACAAGTCTTGCATCTTGCTTTGTACTTTTCTGCTTTCTCCTAGGGGTGTTTGAAAATGTGTGTGAATTGCCATTGTGGTAGATGATGAGGAGTTCAGTTTCCCCCAAGGTCACTCCTGTGTGTTGCGTTTGTCTCTGTCCCTTACAGGAACACAAGGAGGACGCTTCTGTGTGGTACTCCAGCCCCGTGCCGTGGGGGATTGTCCAGCCTCGCAGCTCGGTGGATGTCCCATTGACACTGGAGGCCCAGGTGACGGGAGAGCAGGACACTGTTGCTCATGTTGCAGTGTTTGGGATTGAAGGATCCCCTCTGGTGAGTTCCGGGGGACGTGGGCCTTGGTGCGACTCCTCTTGGTGGGGTGTGAAGCCTCAGGCACGGTTGCTAGCTCCGGGGATCCTTCCCGGGAAAACAAGAACTTGTAATATATGCCGGTGTGGACAAGGAAAGAAGGGGTTTGTGGCATACGCAACAGCTAATGCCTGTGAAACAAAGAGCTTCACAGTCAGAACTATGACTGTTCAGCAGGGATTCTTTATTCGCAGCGCTGGGCAGCACTGGGGATCGCTCCACCACAAGTGCCGCAGCTACTAACAAAGCTCTCTGACTAATATACATAATTCATTTACGTAGTAAATGAGTGTGCATCATAAAAACAGACTGAGGGTCGTCTTCCCCCCGGTGGCCCACATCGTCTTCCTCACACTGCCTGCTGGCTAAACTTGAGGTTTCCCATGTCCATGCTTGGTCATGGAGTGACCTCACCGTCCTTCGGCTCCTGTTTGTTCCGAAGGGGTTGGTTTAAACCGGCTTCCAGTCGCTTTTCTTGACACTGGCGTCTTAGGTGTTTCTCTTGCATTTTTAGGTCCCTGTTATCAGGGATGTACTCAGGGAGTTTACCAGGCTGTCCAAGGCCTGTTTTCTCTCCACTAGGCAAGGAGTTGCAGGTTTCAAGATGTTTTACAAGTGGGTGAGAGGGTAGTTAGGAAAAGAGTATAAATGAAATACTATACTTTGCAGTACAATACAGGAAAAATAAAAGCTAGTGAAACAGAAGGGATGGTTAACATTAAAACTAAGCATCCTACTGTACTGGTTTCTATCCGTTAACAAGGTCAGGAGGTCTTGTAATCTCAAGTATACTTGCAGCCACTCCCCTTCACCTAAAGAAGAGGAAGGATGGTGTCATCCCAGGTGGTAATCTAAGTGTCTGACACAGCATTTAATTACGGCTAGGGCAGATGGGATAAGAAGGCCAGTCTGAGGCCCAGAACAAACCCTGGGTCTCGTACTCTGCTGTGCTATTAGATGAAGAGCTCTGGTGCTTCGTTAGGCCTTTTGTTCAGGAGCACACAGGGACATCCCTGAATCCTGCTAACGCAAGTGCTGTGTAAGAGGCCGTGCTGAAAGTCAGGCCCATCACATCTGAGAAACACCCATCATAGCTCTTTGCTGGGAGCCCCAGCCAAAGACTCATGAGTCTCCACATGGCTTGCACCTGGAGCACAGAGACTTTTTTTTTTCTACCAAGCTTGGAAATGGATGAGGCAAAGCATTCCTGACTAAAGCCTCCTGAAAGCTGATGTTCACAGTCAGGCATACACAACAGCAGCAATGACCACAAAATGTAGGCAAGAGAATGTTGTCTGTAGTGTCCTGGCTTCATCTAGCTGAAATCGAGATCAAATACAGTTAATTAAGCTTTAATTTAAAAGGATATCAACTTTTGAAGCAGCTGTTTTAAAATGTCTTCTCATCTCTCTGAGCATGAAAGAGGATATCAGAGCGTTCCTGTGAGCCTTAAGCTTTCTGTAACAGAAAGAAAGGCTGACATTTTGAAAGTAGTTACAGGGATTGAAACTTTTAATGAAACAAGTGGAAGTGATGCTGCTAAATCTCCTGAATGCCTCCTGAATGTTTTTACTGATGTGAGGAGGTGGTTTAGCAAAGGGATCCACATTCCTTCCCCAGTAGTCTGTGACAGTTCTTCAAGAACAGAACTTTTGGGTCTCAGACTGCCAAAAGAAAAAAATACTGCTTGAGTGATGTAATTAATAGTTAATGCCCATTATCCATATAATACCAGGAATAGACGTAAGTGCAAATCAGAGCAACTAACTTGTATGATCTCTACTCTAAAGGGCCTGTTTTGCCTCTGGCTGGTGGTGGCTTTCACAGGCGTAGCTTTGGGACTAAAGCCACTGTCCCAGTGTGCTGTGCAGCAGCAGAAGTCAGGGAGGTGGTCTGGGGCAAGACTGAGCAGTAGAAGCAGTGGGAGCAGCCACTAGGTAGAGGAAGAAGAGTTACCAGTGTGGAGGAGGTGTGAAAAAGCAAGCATGGGAAACAGGGTTTCTTTATCCCCTGATAACAGGAGCTTGTGTCTTTCAGATGGGATCAGTCCAGGTCCCACACTGGCTTCAGGCCTTCGGTTTCAGTTTTACAACACTGAAAACTTCAAACAGCCGTAATTATCCCCCAGTCTAGGAGTAGTACCCTTAGAGCTGTTTAATCATTTTAAACTTTCTCTCTTCATTTTTTTGACCTTTCCTACCTGCTTTCTGGAGCAGAAAATCCATCTAGTGAGCACTGGAGAAGGACCAGTTGTCTACGTGCATCCAAGCAAAATAAATTTTGGCAGTATCCAAGTTCTGCAAGATGCCTCCCGAACTCTCCACCTCTCCAATCAGAGTGTCATCCCTGCTTCCTTCAGGGCAACGATGGTAAGTGTCTGTGGGGCTATTTTCCAACAAAAATGACTGACAAGCAACCTGTGACTTGATTTTTATCTGCAACATTTGCATATCACTATATGATTGAGAAAGCAATGTATTCCATCACAATGCAGCAAGAGGAGCCTGGTCTGGGGGCAGTTTTAGCTGGGGGACCCCTGAGTAAAACAGAAAATTTGCACAGATGCTTGAGCAGAAGTGAGTCTGGATCAGTGTTGCAAGTTCTCCCTTTGTTTTGTGGAAGGTATTTAGCTCTAAGAGTCATGTGTTTGGAGCTCTGAGACCAAGAGAATGCCGTGGCCCTTTGCTCCTGAAAGGGCATGGGTTTCCGCACGGTTTCCCTGTTAGATCTGCATTTGCTTTGTGTCAAACTGCTGTTTATGATATAGACTAGGCTGTGAGGTCTGGCCTCAAACTGCTCGCAGTGAGGTGAGTTTCACACTTCCTGGGGCTCAAGCCAGCTGGGTTGTTGCACAAGAGGTGGTGTACCTATGGTGGCGTCCGTCACGTTGCAGAGCTCCTCTGGAAACTGGCTGCAGAGAAAGGCTCTTGAATTCCTGGAGGCTGTGTTGCTCCCTGGCAGAGGGAGCAAGGCTGATGCAGTCAGCACGGGCTCGTGTGCTGAGGCTGGATGGGGTGTGCTCCCCACTAGAGAGGGGATCTGTGAGGGGCTTGAAAGGATGGTTCAGAGG